CTATGCAGGCGACTGAGAAAAGAGACTCTGGCATGTCAGGCTAGTGTGGCACTGTATGTACAAGTTTGCTTTGAGCCTGGCTGACATGGCGTGGGTTGCCCACGTATCAGAAGTCTCTGAGTTTGTGTGCTTGAGTGTCTATGACCCATCACCAAACGCAACCCAAACAAAAGTCACCTAAAACCGAGCGTCATCCAAATCATCAAAGTCTGGGTCCGAAAGCACACAATCCCAAAAATCAGGCTCGGGAGAGCCGGGCCCCGCACCACGCTTACAACATCCTATCGCATTGAGGAGATTCGAAGCATGTGAGGAATTGAGGAAAATGTCCCCTCCAATCACGGCTGCTGTTGAAACCCTCTTCGAGAATTCGCACACCTTTGGGGTTAGCTCGCTTTCAAGAACGACTGGGATGATGAGAGCCACGGTTGATGGTTTGAGGGATACGATTGGACCGAGAAGGGGGGTCTTCCGCGCTCGATCCACCCTTTGTGCCTCCGACGATGCTGCCGCCTTGGGTTGTGAGGATTTGGTGGAGATCGGGATCCTCTGGCATTCTTCCACAGATCCGATCGCCGCAAAGCCTGTCGTTTCGAGAGGAACCTTCCAGACTTTCTCATCAGTCATGCCCTTCTTGAAAACAACAACTGGTTCTCCATACTCAGCGTCAGCCTTGTCCCCGAAGTTTTGAAGGTTGGAAATCCCTGAAGTTTTCTCCAGCCTCAGTGGCAACTGAGCCCCACGCCCTTGCAGTGAAACCTGAATCGCGCGCACCCTCTTGGAAAATGACACAATTGCGTCGGCATCAGCCGATATGCCTTGTTTCAGGGTTGAGACGCCCAATTCGAGGAGGAAGTTTATGACGGTGTCTTCATCAGTGATGTAAGGCTCCAGAAGGGCGGTCATGATCGGATCCACCCTGTAATTTCCATCGGGTTCCGACGTCAACAAATTCGTGATCTGCTCGTCGACGACATACCCCTTCTCCGAGATGATACTCTCTACTCTCACAGGCCAACCATGCCTCAGCCCTTCACTGACCTTCTTTGCAGAGACATCACCTCCCTGAACGATGACCTGGAGGAGAGATACAGGCACATCGAAAACAGGATCCGTTGAGCAAGTGCTCATGGCCTTGTGGATGATGGATTCCAATTCGGATGACAGCACCACATGGTTCGTCGGATCTTCTCTTTTGAACTTCTCGCCGATATCCTTCGCAGGATCTGACGACCTAATCGTCAGCCCAGCCATTGGGTCATCTTCTTGCAAAACTGATCCATCTTGGGCTGTAAACCGCAATTTTCCCGTGACTACCTTGCCACCCAGGGTCATCTCAACGATTGCGATCATCTCGGTCTCGGCACAAAGTTCAGATGATGCGAGGAAGGTTCTCTTGCCCACCGGTTTGCAAGTCTGCTTGACCTTATCAAGGAAGGATGAGCTCTTAATCTTCAATCCAGATGGAATCAGGTTCTTCAGATTTGAAACTGTTGCACCCGATTCAAGATTCTGGATCTTGCTCAATAGATCCTCCAAGATTCCGTCACGCTTCTCAAGATACACAAAGTCAGCCATCACCCCGTCGACGTAAGACTTCTGCGAAGTCACATCGGCCCGAGTCAGACCCAGCAAGAACTTTCTGTAATTCTTGTAAACCGGTGGTGACACATGCTTCACAGGATTCATTATGGAGGCAACGTAGAGTTCTGGTCTCGCGAGACCATTGCCAATCTGCATGCTTGCTGCCTGCCAGCTCCTTTTTGCAAGATGTTCTTTCACTGGCAAACAGATCATTGAGAAGTTGACCCGGTTTTGAACTCCAAAGGTGGCTCTGATGGAGATCGAAGGGTTGGATGCTTGAGCCACACTGAGTGAGTCTCTGGGGATGTTCAACTTCTTGAAGAGTTCTGCAGCAGACTTCAACATCGAGCTTCCTCCAGATCTTCCCTTTCTGGAGTCTGGCTTCTCGCCTCTCAGAATCGATGGTGACTCAGAATGCGCTTCTGACATCACTGTCCAAACCAAGTGATTCAGAATTGTGCCTGCGTGTGCTCTCCCATGTGCCTGAATTGGGTTGAGTGCAGAAGCCTCACCTTCTTCTTCAAGGATCAGATCGTCATACACCTCTTCCGACCCCTCTGCGACTGTGCTTTGATCAACCGAGGGGAATCCAGTCGCAAGAGTTTCCGCACTCCTTCGACAGATGTCAGATACTCCCTGAAGCCTTTGCTCTTGCCACTCACCATAAATCGAAAAGAAGAACCTACCACTACGAAGAAGTCCCATGAGTTTTGATGATATGACGATGAAAAAGTAAAGGTGAATCACCTCTGCGGCAAGTGCAAGGAGAGGGAAGAATCCACTGAACTGAATCTGGCAAGAAACACAGACAGTCGTCATCAGGAGAAAGTAAAAAGACTTGAAACTGAAGATCGTTGCAAACGAGGACAAGAGAGGATACATGAAGACTGCAAGGATTCGTGAATCGCGATAGCAGTTTGTCGTTATTGAGGATAGCACGGATTTCAATGATGGCGGGACAAAGGTTCCAGATACGAAAATCGCGGCTCCAACGTCATGAACCTCATCGAAAGTGAAGCCCCATGGCTCATCTGCTGTGGTGTGACAGATGATGGACGCGAGAATCATTGATGGGAAGTTCATGAGTCCTGTCAAAGCCATGTATGATCCCGATCCCTCTCTCTGATCTGTTTTGCAGGAGTACAGACTCCACCCCAACTTCTTCGAATCCTGCAGAGGAATCAGAGACGAGCAAAACTCGTCGTTGAGGTTTCTCAGCTCCGGCATGTCACGTAGAGCAGCATTCGACCAAAGACCAGTCGAAACGAGAGCAACCATTGCAATCAATCTGCTCATCGACTTTCTTGACATCCTGTTTCGCCTCACCTCAGATCGACTGTCCCTTCGGTTTGGAGTTGTGATCGCGAGATACAACGCCTGAGAGATAGCCATCACAAGGACGGAGAATGTCGAGACACAAAAGTCGAAACCTTCGATCTTTGCAAGCGTTGCGGACACAAAATTTACAACCAGAATGAAGGCTGAAGTTGTCCACTCCCTCTTGATCTTGAACCAGTTGGTCTCTGGGCTTTTCACCTCCATGACCTCTTCGATCGAAAGATCTCCTTCTTCCAGTGCCCCTTCGATCAACGGAGTTCCCAAGTCCACGTCCATGCGATGCACTTCCGGGAACGACTGCATTTCCGATGAGTAGAAGAGGAATGGGATGATTCAGGAAGTTGATCTGTCGAAAGAACTCTTTGTAATTGGCTTGAGCCAAAATGGCTACGGACTAGGGCTTAGGGTTTAGGGTTTAGGGTAGTCAACGGGTCAGCGATAGCTTGGCCCAGGGGATTAAGGCACCATGGTATGTTCCTAGGTCCCAGCGTCTAGAAGAAATATAGGGCTTATCGGGTTAGGGTATGTGCGGACTCCCTTTGACCCTAAGCTAGCCTTTTTTGAAAGCAGTCTCTCTGAAGCGCCTCTGGGTTGCCCGCCTCGGCGATGACTCGAGAATCACGAGGCATGAAATCCGCCAGATACCCTAAGCCGTTGAACCCTAAGCCCTTTCTTGCTACTGGACTCAAGTCTAGCCAAACGATGACCGGCAACAATCTTGACCTAAACTGACATAAACCCTAAACCCTAAACCCGAAACATAAACCCTAAATAAACCCTTGAACTCTACACCCGCAAGAGATGAAGTTCGGTTGACTCGGGGGGTCTTTCCTCTAGCAGCCGGAAGGACAAGGGCTAATGAACACTGGCGGCTTCCCTGTCCCTGCTGAAACAGCGCGGCCCTACTTCGAAGCAACCTACCCTGAGGTTCCTACGCTCTTTCGGGTTCCCTGCTCTGAGTCCACTCCCAACGAAAGAGAGGAACCGCGATGAAGGACCTAGCAACCCCGGCTGCCCAAACTTGGCTAAACCCGGAACCCTCAACAGGAAACCCCTAAACCCTGAACCCTAAACCCTACACCCTAAACCGAAACCCGAAACCCTACTCGCCCCAAGGACGGTCTGCAAGTGTGCCAAGGAAGTCCTCATCTCCTGCAAACAAGCCTCGGGAGGGTTCCGACTGCAGGGTCCGCCCTTTCTTTGGGCTCGAGGGTTCCCTCACAGTAACGGTTTAGGGTTTAGGCTTTAGGGTTTAGGGTTTAGGGTTTAGGGTTTAAGGTTTAGGGTTTAGGGTTTAGGGTTTAGGGTTTAGGGTTAGGGTTCCCTTACAGCTTAGGGCTGAGGGTTGACCGTTTAGGGTTTAGGGTTTACTTTTGAGGGTCTTCTGGTACACTTCTCGATTCGTGCGTTTAGGGTTCAGGGTCTAGGGTTCTAGGGTTTAGGGTTCAGGGTTCAAGGTTTAGGCCCTCGCAACTCGGGCAATGGGGTTTGGGGTTTAGGGCTTCGAATCTAGGGCTCTGGGGTGTTTGAGGGTTTAGGGTTGTTTTGATATTCGAAAGGATTCGGAGAGATGGCAAGCAGCGAAACACGAGATGTGCCAAGCAACTTCGCATGGCCGGCGCGGTGCTGCGAACAGCTCTGATGTTAAGTCTGTGGCGAGTCATGGGTTTCGGGTTTAGTAGGGTTTAGGGTTTAGGTCCTACCCAACGGCACCAAGGGGACAGCAAGCGCATACCGACATTGGTGACATGATGCACAAATGATGCGGAGCTTTCAGAAGGTAGGCCTAGCTGACTGAACTCAGCGTTGAGGCATCGGCATGCATCGCCACTGTGGGGCACGTCGACGGCAGACTGACGTCAGAGCAATTCCAACCGACCATTGACACATGCTCAGCAATGGAGGCGATCCAGCTTCGGTACGTGTTTGATTGGTTTGTGAAATTGATGGAACTCGATTATGGCCCTAAGACGGTGGCGGCTGAGGACGACTTTCAGGCGCCTTGATGCAGCGGGCCAGGCGGGTGCCGAGCTTTGTGCGCCTGCTGGCACAGGGAGCAAACAAACCGAGACACTAGATCTTCAACCGCACACGCAGGAGGTCGAATCCGCCATCCCAGACCTTAAGCTCTAACCCGTCAAAGCCTTGAGCTCCTGAGCCCTTTACGTCAACCCCCGACCCCCACCTCTCCTTCAATCTATAAACCTTTAAACCCGTTGATTGTTGAACCCAGGCTGTGATCCTGTTCAGCTGCACATAAGACACAGACCCTCAAACCCGCAACCCGCAACACCCTGAACCCTACACCCCATAGAATTCTAAACCCCTTACAGAACCATAGAAACCTCATTGAACCATTCCAGAACCTTCAGAGAACCCGAAACCCGAAAGATGCGGCCGCGCCTCTCTTTCAATCGATCGTACAGGCCCGGCTCTTTCCTGAACACCTGCTTTGCTCAGGGTTTTAGGGGTTTAGGGCTTTAGGGTTTAGAGTTTAGGGTTGAGGGTTTTTTGATTCAGGCCTGATGTAGAACAGGATAGAGAAGCCACGCTCGGCGGTCAAGAGTCAAGCCTATTTGGCCTAACTCCCTTGGGATTCAGGGCTCAAGTATCCTGAACTTCTGCTGAACCATTTGTGCATCCGGGCTTGTGAAGTCGGCCGGGGAAGGTGCTACAACTTCTGAACCCTGAACCCTAAACCCTAAACCCTAAACCCTAAACCCTGAACCCTAAACCCTAAACTGGCATAAGGCCTTTAGGGCTTACAGGGGACGCCGGAAGGAGATCCGTGGTTTCAGAATTCCCAAAGGCTCCATGTACCCTTGTAGTAGATACTTAAGCCTTAAAGTACCAATATAAGGACCCATTTAAGGCCTAAGTATCTACTACCCTAAACCCTAAACCCTAAACCCTAAACCCTAAACCCTAAACCCTAAACCCTAAACCCTATACTATACAGGTACATGGAGCCTTTGGGATTGTGGGCTCTCGCACTCGGACTCTCCCGGGCGAGGCGCTTGCAATATTTGATCCCAGGGATCGAAACCAGCAACTTCCAGGTTCGATTTAGGTTTAGGGTTGTTTCTTATCACATCTTTTTTCCGGTTTAGGATTTAGGGCTTAGGGCTTAGGATTTAAGGTTCTTTGGATTTTAGGGCGTAGGGTTTCGGGTTTCAAGAGAGTTCAACCCTATAAGTAAGTCTCCATGAGCTCTTAGTCTTAATCTGATCCATGAGCTCAAGCGCACGCCAGAAACCCTTGAATCCCTTCTTGCATCCTAAATCCGAAACCCGCAATCCTAACCCTTAACTCTTTTTCAGCACGGACCGAGGTGCCGGCCAGCACCCACGCAACGTAAACCCTAAACGCTAAACCCTAAAAGCCTAAGCCCATGCCTCTGCCACGAGGTTTGAATGCTGCGAGAGGTCGGGCCTCAAGTGCATCGGGGCTGTAGGATTTCGGGTTTGGGGTTTGAGTTTCGGGTTCAGGGTTCAGGCTTTTCTTCAAAGAAGTGAAACAACAATCAACAGTTTAGGGTTTAGTGTTTAGGGTTTCGGGTCAAGGGTTGACGCTCTCGCAACTCGGACTGTTTGGGGGTTTCTGCGCTCCCGCATGGCAGGATCCGTAGACTCCGCTTGGCAGGTTCTGCTTGGGGCCTCTACGACAACCTACTCCCATGAGCAAGCGAACCTCCACCAAGAATCTGGCTACAGCAATACACATTTGCAATTACTACTACTTCCCGTAAGGAGCTCGACTGAACTGGTAAGAGACATACGTAAGCCCTGTTACTGCATCTTGAAGGGGTCACAAACAGCTGATAGTGCACAAAGTACTTTCAGCTCTCAGCAACACTTTGGACAACAGTGCACAATGAGCAGTTTCAGTACACACAGGGGAGGTGCAGTGCGGTCACGTGCCTAAGGCTTCACACCCAGCTCACGAAGCAGACGGGGGTTTTGGGCTTGGGGGTCGCGGATGGAGCTCCTGGCTAGCCGACCACAAACCACGAGGCACTTCTTTTGGGCCCCAGGCAACTCCAACGAACCATCTGCGGGGAAGCCGGCCTTGCAACGCAATCTGGAGGAGTGCTGTTTCGTGGTCCAGGCAGCGCACTTAACTAAAAGTGTCATCTCCTGCTTCGCACGTGTGCAATCTTGGCCCTGACACCCAGGGCCAACACCGAAACCCCTGACATTGCAAAGCCGTCCTGCATGGTCCCTTCGGCACCGGCCCCGACTCGAAGCACTTCAGATGCTCCTGGGGCATTTGGGGTTTAGGGTTTAGGGTTGGGTTGGGGGTTTAGGGTTATTTTTGCGCGACCCTTTTCCCCTCGCCGATTGGTCAACAACACGAAATGCGTATCCCGTGAGGCTTAGGGTTTAGGGTTTAGGGCTTAGGGTTTTAGGATTGGGGGCATGCACAATCCTTCACAGCAGCTCAAGAAGGCGGCTCGCTGTTGTCTACCCCCAGGCCTCGCAGAAGTTCCCTCCCTGCGGCCTCCAGACCTTGACAAAAAAAAGCCGGAAGCGTCGAGGGAGGCGGCATGGCAATGAAGATGAAGATGAAGATGCAAACGAAGATGATCATACAGTCCCGAGCTGGCAGGTGACGCAGACAACGATAGCAGATAAACACACGACATGACGATGACGCTCATGTTGATGATGGTAGTGGTGGCGCCGATGTGGATGGCAATAGAGGCGGGTACGAAGCTGAACATATCGGAAGTGATGGCGAAGATGGTCCCGGCAAGGGATGTTGATGCACGGCGCAAACGTTTGCGTAAAACACCGTTCAAGGAGTTTAGAGTATATAGGGCTTCTATAAGGCTTCCATAAGGTATATAGACCTTCTATAAGGCTCCTATAACGGTAACTACCCCAAGGCCTTGCTGGCTAGAAGGGCCCAAGGTGCCGGCTTAGGAGGCACTCAAGGCAGCGCGGACATGGCCGGAATCTACCAACTCACCATCCAACTCTTGGCCAAATGCAACGGGGCAATGAGTCCAAGCACAGGAAGGCAGGAAAATGAGGGCCGCTACCAACAACCACGTGCGGAAGGGAAGAGGAGGGCTTTCTATGCTGCAAAAGCGCGAGAGTAAACGCCTGCGCTTTTCGACTCCGCTTGTGCAACGTCACAGCCTGCGAAAGCCTCTACCCTACTCTTGCTCCATCCGCTTAAAGCGGGAGTGCTGATTGCAGTAATTGCAGTGGACGGTGACCACTGGTGGTTCTGTTGCCACTTTCCCCTTTCAAGCTTATCGTTGCTCTTACCCAACACCTCTGTCACCAGTGGTTCTATCTCCAGCCCAGGGCTCGTAGATGTCCTGGAGGACCGTCGATTCACGTGGTTGGTGCAGGAGAGCACATGAAAGCTCGGGCTGGGAGTCCATCGGATGCAACTCTTTTGCTCTAAACTTCCGAAGTTCTGGCTCTGACTTCCAATCGGTCAAGAGCCTCAGTGATCTAAACATTCCGGCCTTCACGTTTGCAGTGCGCCATGGCCACCGTCTCAACCAGTGCCTTGGAGAGGGTGAACTTGCAGTCTGACAGAAGCCCATGGTTCATGGTCAAGATCGGGCTAGGGAAGCCGAAGATAAACTGACTGAGCAAACCCTCCTCTGCAGCTCCCAAGTCCATGCTTTGGAATGGACCCTTCGAACCCCAAAGGCACCTTCGGGTCTTACCCGACTCGCTGCCGAACTTGAAGCACGCAGCCGACATGGCGATTTTCTTCTTTGCAGCATTCGCGGCTCGCTTCGGACTTCAGAGCGGGGCTCGGCTGCTTCGCAACGGCCCTCATCGACCCGCACATCCTCATGAAAAGCTGACGAATTTGGGTTTCCTGGCGGATTTCTGAATAAAACCGCTAAGAGTCGTCCAGGCGTGGCCAGGCTTCCTGAAACCCATCTTGCGTCTTACAGGAGCCGGACTTCTTCCGCGCAGACTTCAACGGGCTCACCGGCTGTAAGGTCCGAGATCTTCTCTTCCAGCTCCTGGCATTTAGGGAGTTTAGGATTTAGGGTTTAGGGTTCAGGGTTCAGGATGTACGGTTTTAGGGTTTAGTTTAGGGTTTAGGCTCCTGGCATGCATCTACAATCTGCCTATAGTCTGCATTACCAATTATATACTGAGGATTTTATAAGGGGTTTAGGACTCTCGCTCCTCGGGCAATGCATCTAGGGGGTTTAGGGTCTAGCTCGGATTTAGGGATTATTTCCCTCCTACTTAGCAAGGACGAGCCAGCAATGCAGGGTACGTTCGGATCTGTGGCAGACGCACAGTAGAAAAGTCTCAGCCCTTGTAGCCCAGCCTCTCCTACCAAGTCTCTCATTGCTTAATAAACTAAGCACTTGTTTGCACTCAGAAGAAGTACATCACAGCAGACGTCATCCAGGCCGAAAGATGGCCAGAGCATGTGACAAGAGGCCCATCCCGCACAACCAGAAAAAGTGGCGGGCATCCACTCGATTCCAGAGGGCCAGACTCGTATCTCCAGTTGTATCACCAGGAAACCAGAAGCTCTTCAGAACATGCGCCGTAATTACGAATTGTCGATTCAGAAGGGTTTAGGATTATTTGGATTTAGGGTTTAGGGTTCTGCAAACCCTAAATCCATCTTGCAGCAGTCTCACCCCTAAACCCTAAACCCTAAACCCTAAACCCTAAAACCCTAAACCCTAAACCCTAAACCCTAAACCCTAAACCCTAAGCAGGACCCGGCCTTCTGCAAGCGCAACGCCAGGGACTCCGGTGAGTCTGGGTAGGGCAGCTGCGCAGCCACCAGAAGCATTGGGGCCAGAAGCGCCAGGCGCCTCAAAGCGGCTTTGGGTTTAGGGATTAGGGTTTAGGGTTTAGGGTTTAGGGTTTAGGGTTTAGGGTGGGAGTTTTGGATTAGGGGGTCCCTTTTTTTGGGTGCGAGCTTTGGATTAAGGGGACCCTTATGGATATAGACTCTAGACCCTCTCCAAAAGGGGCCCTTTTTCTTGGTAGGGCTTACAGCCTCTCTCAAACCTGGGGCTTGGGAAGACTTGGACTTGGCTGTTCGAGGTTGTCCGGGAGGAGGATTGCAGCCGTGGCACGTGAGGCAGACGCCGAGCAGGCCCTCACATGTGAAGCCCACCGCAGCCAAGGCCAAGCCTACTGCAAAGTCGGTGTATGCATGATTGAGTGCAGCATGTGTCAAGCACAGACAGAAGCACCAAGAATGCAGAGCAACAGACCCTTCTGCCTTTTCCCAAGCACCCGGTCGTCATAAGACACCAATCATGCAGTTCAGGAGCTGCAGAAGCAAAGGCACTGGAGCACGTTGATCTGCGGCTGTGCGAAGGGGCTGGCTACCGCGACGACAGCGGCCATGGTAAGGGCAACGGCCACTGCGAGCCACCGAGAATTCATGGTAGCCACCTCAGCGAAAATTCGAACAAAGACCACAAAAGAAAGGGCGGCTTGCAGCTTTCTGGCTTCTGAGACATGCATTGACAACTCCGTCGAGGGGCAGCGACCATCAACGCAGAAGCTGCTTTCAGCAACACCTCCATCCAGACCTTGTCACACTGCGCCTCGGTCGCAAAACAGGACCCGCAGCACATCGCAGCACAATGGATGGTGCCTCTTGGCTCTGGCGCGGTCTTTGCAAATCGGGACAGTGACGACGATGATTACGACTATCTTGTTCTTCAGTCGAGGCGGACTTTGAAAATGACACTTGTGTTTTGGAACTGTCGTTACCGGCACTGTCGTACAAATTAGGAGGACCAGAAAGCACCACAGCTCTCCCCAATGTCATCGGCATTTCGGACATGCAAAGACGATTGTGGCTGCTGCTCCTATGCGCTTGAGCATCCGTCATCGACCTCCTCCTCCTCGTCGTCCTCTGCGTCGTCCGTGATGTCCCCTTCGTCGCCGTCGTTCTCGTCGTCGCCGTCGTTGTCGGAGCAGCAACAGCAGCAGCAGCAGGGAGGGGGGTCTTAGTACGATAGCAGCCTGCATTCTGAGAAGAATGGCCACTGTAGCCAGTCTTCAACTGACACATTGTAAAACGAGTATGGTTATAAAGGTCGGTGCCGGCTGAGGGCGCCACGTACTTGCAAAGCAGATCTTTTGTACCCATCAACGATCCTTGGGTGGAAGATGGGACGTCATGACCGGCGAACAGAGAATTGATTAACCTGCAGTTTGCTCTTGACCCACAAAACACCTGTAGCCTCCATGTTATGGTTATAGTTCATTTTTTGGGCTGCCTTGCAAGATCCTGGATATAAAACTGGCTCAACGCCAAAAAGGGACACACAGTGGACCCTAAACCCCTTTTACACCTGGACAACCCTAAACCCTTTTGCAACGGCCTTGTCAGATCTCGACCGGACTGATAGCCCACAGCAGTGACTTCAGAACATGCTCTGCACAAACCTGGTCTGCATTTGGGGCCTCAGGATCCTGAGGAAACTCAACGATATCAGATGACCCTAAACCCTTTTTCAGCATGGGCTTGGATCGTGTGCCAGCGAACACACCCTCAACAGCATGACCCTAAACCCTAAACCCTAAACCCTAAACTAAACTCTAAACCCTCAAGGAGAACAAAGGTAGAGCCATGGCCAGAGACTCTGTCGAAAGCGCTCTCCTCAAGGATGGTGCGCTCCGTCAGCATTTGCATGAGATCATTCCGGCTCCTTAGGTTTAGGGTTTAGGGTTTAGGGCTTTCCTTGGCTCCCCTGCATCACCCGTAGGGCCCAAACACTAACAAACCCTGAACCCCAAACCCTAAACTCAAAAACCCGAAAAGTTTGAAAACCCCGAAGCTGCCCCAGACCCTAAACGCTTTAAAACCTTTTTGTTTGGTCCCCCAATACCTAAAACCCTAGAAACCCTACAATTTCCCTAGCAACCCAAAAGGAGCAAGCGGAGCACTAATTGGGAACCTAAGCACAAGATATGCGCTTCTTTCTGGTCGCCGACTCCAGCGAAGCTCAGGGCCTCAAGACAGCAAGATTTACTGGTGGTTCAGGGTTTAGGGTTTAGGGTTTAGGGTTCAGGGTTTAGGGTTTAGGGTTTAGGGTTTAGAGTTTAGAGTTTAGAGTTTAGGGGTTTAGGGGTTTGGGGTTTGGGATGTGGGGTTTAGAGTTCCTAGTTAAAGTACAAGCCAGAAAACTTAACGACATCATTACCCTGATGCTCTTAGAGTAGAGTATAGGGAATCCCAGCGCCAATCATCTTAAATCCGTCTTCCAAATTTCTGGGTTTCACTGTAAGGGTTTCGGGCAGAGGAAGACCCCTCATGAACAAACCCCCATTCCCAATATGATCCCTAAGGTTTAGGGTTTGTTTAGAGTTGGGCTTAGGGCACGAGTCCGGGCCACGTCAAACCCGAATGTGCTCCCCGGCAGTGTGCTGACAGTCCTTGGTTGCGGCATCTGCAGGAATGGTGAAGTCTGGTGAAGGTGCAGCTAGGGAATCGGAAACTCCAGGCTCGGGCGCGAGAAGCCGCGACACCCTGATAGCTGGGCCCTCAGACAGCAGAATGTTTCGGAGCGACATTGCAGTTCCCAGCCTTCCAACATGCCGAAGTGCAGCTTGTAGATACTTGCGAGGGCCGGGTAGACACAGAGGGCTCGGTTGCGAAAGGATTCAGTGATTCAGGACCAAGACAAAATGTTACAGGAACCGAAGCAATGAAGAGGAAATGAACAACTTGTGGATGTGCCAATCGAGAGGAAGCAATGGAAGGAAAGGACACGGGCAAGCTGCAACAAGAAATGGCGTAGTCACAAGGCAAGGCAGTGACGAACGCATGTTTCAAATTCGGCCACGTGCTGGCCAGCCAGATTCGAGCACTGCTCACAAGAATAAGCCTGTGAAGTGAAACTGCATAAGGTATAAGAAACAGACCAGGCTGAAGTGCGGTGAACATCGAGGACGCAAGTGATGAGCGGTAAGGAAACAAAAAGTTGACATGCAGAAAAATTGTCGACTTGAGTTCTGTCAGAGTGCTACTACTGTTCGCACTCTCACTCTGTGGACTGCGCAGGACTGTGCCAGATGGGCTTCTTCTGGTCCGAGAAAAGGTCTCCTACTGTATGAAACTCGCAAGACCAGGGAGGGTTGCAAAGACCAGGGAGGTTTGAAAGTTTTCTGACTTCAAGGGTCAAGGGCAACTCGGAAACCACAGGAAGAAGCGAAAGGGAAATCACGGGCAAGCACGGAGAGATTGGTCAGATGGGCCCAAAATTCATAGAAGCATACAAGAAGGCTTTTGTGAGCCGCAGCCTCGAGCCTTCTGACCCACACAACGCCAAATCGCCCCGGACAGCAACGATTCCAGCTGGTGACTTTGGAATTCTGGCCAAGGCTGGCTGCATGCCGAAAGCCCGCAAGGGGCCGTCAGATGCAAGCAGGACCAAGGACCCACGTCTCTTCTTTGGGCTCCCTGGAAATGGTTTGAGCAGGTCTCGCCCCTGAACCCCGCACCATTGAGTACCACGTGTCTGGAGGGTACCCCCGCAGCAAGCCTCACAGAATCACTGCGGTTTAAGGATGCTGAACACCGATAAGTGCTCAAGACCTGCAACACTAAACACGCGAATTCTACGTGTTGAAGTGCCACGCATAACTGTCCCCACCGGGCTTGCGGCCGGGTGTCACTGAATCCTTGTGAAGCTCGACACGTGCGCCTCCGCGAATATGAACGGCCACGTGTGCCGCCGCAGCTGCAACCAGCCGCTTTTTCAAAACAGCGTCCTAGCTGAGATGCAGGAAGCATGTGTGATGTAAAAAACGCGGCACCCTCCGTATGTTCTGCAAAATGTCCTCGAAGGCCATCTCATCGCTGCCCATCCGTATCTTTAAGCGCACCTTTCCCTCCACCTCTGTCGATCCGGAGATGAAGAACGTCTTGGCCTTCCTGACGTGCCCCAATGCCACTCTCTCGATTTCAGCCGAAGGACAGTCGCTCTAGCACTCTAGCTGAATGTGCATCAACAGAACTATTACAAGGGCCCGTGGAACAGAATCTCGTGTCCGCAAAAACTGGAGCTGTGCACTCATGGCGGGGGCGTCACACTTGCCGCCTTCCCAGAACGACAGTGAATGCTTTCCTCCCGCCTCATCACCGCCCGCTGCTTGACGAACAGGAGCGCCATGAGGCATGGAACGACGATGACATAGGCGAAGACGCTGACCCACCCGACCCAGTCAACCTGTAGCAGGAGGGGGGCCAAGAGACGAGCCACGCACGAACGGCTGCTGCGACTGAGCTTCCGACCCAGGCCGACTCGCCGTCCGCGTTGCACTTCAAGCGAGGGAAGAGCGGTCGAAAGGCCAAGTCGTCTGGAATGGCCTTTCCTGCACAGATCGTCGGCTTCAAAGCTAAATGAAAGAGCCGTGGCACCAAAGCAAGTGTGCACGGCCGTCCTTCACCGTCCAAGTGCTGACATTCCAGAAGTTGAGCAGCGCCCGAGGCGCCCCCTACGAAGAGGATCGTCAGAGCCTTTGAAGACATGCTGATTCCTGAAGTCAGGTCACTTCAACGTGCACTCAACCGAAGTTAGGGTCTTGAGGTACCTTAACAAGACATACAAAAACAGCAACCTAGGATTCCTGGTAGCCTTGCAGCCTCGACTCCCAGCCCATGGCTGAAGAGCTCGAGGCACATGCAGGCAGCCACCACCAAGAGAGGCACCAGCGGCGTTGCCAATGCGAAGGCCGTCCGGACCGTCGGAGCATCGAAGATGCACTGCAAGGCGAAGGCATTTTGCACCTCCGCCACAGAAGGACTGGCATGCGTTCCTTAAGGCCATGAATCTCTGCACGGTCACGGCCTCTGCACCCGTCAACTGCAGGACCTCCATGTACGATACAAGACTGTCACCTTAGATGGGCTTCTAGCAGACCGTGCACAGCCAGCATGAACCCCTGCCGCTGCTGCGAGTCGCTGGTGTCACTGACTGCAGCGGAGACATCGGGCACACGCCTCACCAGGTTCCTCAGCCGCAGGGTCCGAGAGTTTTCAGACCCGAGAGCCACAGCCACCCGCTCGAAGCCTCCGAGCGCCGGGCTTGCCGAGCACGGCCCAAAGCTGGAAAAGCTGCAGAAGCGCTGGCGCCTGTGCGGCCAGAAGGTGGCCCAGGCTCTTGGCACAGAGGCCCGTGGGCATGGTAGGCCTGGCCGGGCTGTGGTGTCGGTTTAGGGTTTAGGGTTTAGGGTTCAGGGTTTAGGGTGATGTCAAGGGTTCGGGCAACGGCCGCTGTAGCTAGGGAGGCACCTGCAGGCCCAGAAGGCAGCGCCGGAGAAAAGAGCGAGTACAACGGCGACTAGAACGGCGAAGCCGGAAAACTCTTTGGACGTGGTGGACATCTCGCCACATTGGAAGCACTCGTTTCTGAAAGCTCTGAAGCCGGGCGCACAGTCTGTGCACAGCGGGCCGCCGTAGCCTGAGATTCGAGTCACGTGCAACTTTTGATGGCTTCCTGTGCTACCTTTAAATCGCCAACCATGCTCGCGCCAACAAGCCCTTTTGCATGTGTTCTTACTCGCCGCCATCTCGAGTTAAAGATTTAGGTCTGAGGTGAATGTGGCTGTGGTGAACATCCTGAGCGTGTTGGTCGTGCTGGTCATGGGCGGTGGGTTGACATTGCTGTTGTTGTAGTTGCTGTGCTTGTAGATGAATGTAGATGATGTTGTTGTGGCGGTGGTGGTTGTGGCGGTTGTGGTGGTTATGGGGGTTGTGGTGTTTTTTGAGCATTCCCGGAGACAGTCCCGGAGTGAGGTGTCGTGGTTGTGATGGTTGTTGTGGTGATTGTTGTGGTCGTTGATGTGATAGTGGCCGTTGTTGTGGCGGTTGTTGTGGTGGTTGTTGCAGTGATTGCTCTGGTGGTTCTTGTGGTGGTTGTGATGGTTATTGTGGTGGCCGTTGTGGTGACTGTTGTGTTGGACAGTGCGGGCAGTGCGCTTGATATTACGGCTGCGGCTGTGGATGCCTCTGTCTGTTTTTGCTGTTGCTGCTGCTGTTGCTGCTGCTCTGGCTGTAGCTTCAATATGGAGTACCTTGGCATGTTGATTGCAGGTGACATCAACAGGAAACCTGCCGGACCCCTTAACGACGCCGCGAACATACCCGACCAGGACCACTGCCCATGCCGATGCCACGACGTGACGACAACCAACGTCATCGAGACCGCCTACAACTTCTTCAGGATGGTTGAAACAACTCAGCTCAAGCCAGTGTGTGTGTTTGTGTGTCTCTGTGTGTGTGTGTGTGTCTGTGTGTGTGTGTGTGTGTTTCTCTGTCTGTGTGTGTGTGTGTGTGTGTGTGTGTGCGTGTGCGTGTGCGTGTGCGTGTGCGTGTGCGTGTGCGTGTGCGTGTGCGTGCGTGTCTCTGTGTGAGTGTGTGTGTGTGTGTGAACCTCCCTAGCACATGGGGCCAGAGGGTCACTCCTACACAGTTTCATGGGGTTGCAGGGGGGCGGAGGGAGTGTGGGGGTGCTCCGCCCAACGAAGCTGCC